AATCCAAAATGGCGGCCATTTTCCAAGATGGCGGCCATTTACGGGGTCTTTGGTATATCTGTGCCTCTGTGGTTCATTCACATTGTCATACAAGCACCAAAATTGGCATGCACATTAATTTTGGGCTGTTGATTCATAAAAGAACGTTTACGACATAAAAATCCAAAATGGCGGCCATTTTCCAAGATGGCGGCCATTTACGGGGTCTTTGGTATATCTGTGCCTCTGTGGTTCATTCACATTGTCATACAATCACCAAAATTGGCATGCACATTGCTTTTGGGCTGTTGTTTCATAAAAGAACGCTTACCACGACAAATTCCAAAATGGCGGCCATTTTTCCAATTGGCGGCCATTTGCGGGCTCTTTGGGAATATATTATATATATCTGTGCCTCTATTTTTCATTCACATTGTCATACAAGCACCAAAATTGGCATGCACATTACTTCTGGGTTGTTGTTTCATAAAAGATTTCCAGCCACGTGAAAATCTATAATGGCGGCCATTTTCCAAGATGGCGGCCATTCACAGACTCTTTGGCGCATCTATGGTTCTTCTTATCCAGTTTTTAGGATACCAAAATCGTTTCTGACATTTTTGAAGATTGAGAATTAGAATATGACAAAGGGAAATTTTTTTAAAGAATGAAAAGCTACCAAACACTGATTTGCAGATTTTTACTGATATTTAACAAGATGTTACATTGTGTAATATATGTCAATAGAAATGAGTAAGTAGTAAGCTAAGCAAAGTAGGCCTACAGTATGGTAAACCTGCATGTAAAATCATTATCATGACCAGCTGAGCATTAATCACTCCAATTCAGCAGGTGCAGCTGCACATTGTTGTGCAGCTCAAACTGAGCTTGTAGCACTTGCAACGTCCACGACACAGCGTCTTGCACTGGCATTTCGTAAGCTGCTGGCAACTCTGAGCAATGGGTTGGAGCTCAGACCATAGGATACTCCAGCAGTCTTCTTCTTGTTTCCAGCCCTCTTCTGCAGGACTTTCCTCTTCAAACTGACACTCCAAAGCCCGGCTCCATAAGCATGCTGACTAGTATGCAGCACGTCTAATGTGCTGAACAAGGGCTGTACAAGTTGGTGGAATAGCTTCGTAGGATCTGTGCTTCCTGGGAGAGATCTCCAGTCGTGCATCATCAACAGCTTCAGGACACACATCCCACGTCTGCCATGCTGACCTTTTCCCCTTTCAACAGAATGCAGACACGACATCACAGCCTGTAAAGGCATGGGAGAGCAGAATACCACTGCTCCTCTCTGGAGTGAGCTCATGCATGGAGATTCCCTTCAGATTTCGCCCTTGTCCAAAAGCTTGCCACATTTCCTGGAGTCCCAGCTCCTGTAATTGTGAGAAAGTGACAACAGCAATCACAAGGACATCTAGGTCATTGGCTTTTATCATGACTGTTTCGAAGCCCCACTTTACAGTGTCCAATGTAGGAAGATTCTTGTACATGTATCAACTTCTTCGTGATTGCAGTGTAACCTTGTCATCCGGTATGACAGCTAACTGTGACTTCTGACAGACATGCAGCCTTCCTCCATGACTCAGAGGACATGACTGATACTCGAGACGGAAGAACTCATGTAGATCGCATTCTCTGTTCTGACAGGAAATGAATAATTTTGAGAAAAGCTGGCTTTTGAGAAATCCTTCAATGGCAATTGCTGAAAGAAGTCAATGTTTGCCTTCATTATATTATAGTGCATAGAACGAGCTTGTATCTCCATGCTTTAGTGTCTCTAAGTGTGCCTCAAAAGATGAATTCCCAGTTGAAGGGTGAGTAGCAATCTTATTAGCACTACAAGGGGATGCTATATCGTTGGTGTCCAGACTGAGCAGATTTCCAGATTCTTCTTGAAATTGATTTCCCATTTCCTCCAGCGTGCTTGTAAACGGAGTCAACCTTTGGACCATTTCCAGGAAGCTTCTCTGGCAGGTGGGTGTCTGTTCATGATGTTTTGCCTGCTCTGAGACATCCCTCAATACTGACGCCTCTTCATACTGTGCAACAAGCTGTGACACAGCAGGGCCTGCAACCATCTGTCTTCTAAGTGCTGAAGGATCTTCAGTGATTCCGACTGCGCCTCCATCACCTTTGATTACTGCATTGGCTTGTTCATGTGCTTAATTAATCAACTGCCATTCCTGAGAAATCTCTGTTGGATTTGTGAACTACAAATTTCCCAGCATGAAATCTCCTAAGTCAGATCTATCAGGTGTATAGGAAGCCACCGTGCATAGTTCACGTTGTTGTTTGCAAATCAATAATTCTTGTATAAGCTGACATAAGGCCTGACGGTAGAGACTGTAGTTGGAAGTTCTCAAGGACCTGATGAATAGCAGAACAGTTAACTCCGTTGTCAGCACAATGTTCCAATATAACAGAACTGTGGGCTCTGTAGTTTGCGATGTTCACACCAGTCTTCAAAACTTCGGGTCAGCCCATTCTTCTACATATATGTAGAGTAGGCTGATTTCAAGAACTGGTAGGGGCTGCACGCTGTTACTTGGTGGGTTTGGCGGGTCTTGGTGAGACTTGCAGCTGATAGGAAAGAATCTGCTGAGCCAGATCAAGCTACCCCCACCTCAGTGCAGGTGTCCATCCATTGTCGTGAAAGAGGAAACGGAGTGAACGCAGCACATTTATCTCAATCCTCCAAACATGATGACGAATTGACTTTCGCCATAATCTTTAGGTCACTGTCACAGGATCTCTTTGGCTGTGGCATATATCAGCTGATCTGCTGTGATCACAGGCACTTGTCCGAGATTAAGAAACCTCACTGCATCCCTAATCTTGTCCATGACATGTCGTACTGTAGCTGCAGAGCGGGCTTGGTCTCTCACCAGAGGCAGCATAGTGGATATACATTGTACAAGTTTTGAACGCAGGACACCTCTTCTTGTCTGCGTAATGGAAAGACCATGAGATATTTACATTGTCATGGACCTCTGCGATGGAGACTTTCTAGACCATTCATGCTCCAGTCAGCTGTGGTTTCAAAATCTCCATGTCTGGTTGAGTCATGTTAGTCACTTGAGGAGGATATGGACTCTAATTGGTGAAATGAGCAGGTTTGATGTGCGCATAAAAGTCTGGAAGTTCTGGGACTGTCTTCACCATGACACCCCTTACTTGCAATTTCTGCTGTTGTTCTCCCTCATTCTCAGAGGAGGGGTGCTAGAACAGCGATAAACTTATACCATGGAAAGATGTCGTTGATGTTGTAGCAGATGGATTGTGGTCTATGTTGTCTCTGGCCGAAGTGGTGAACAGTCCTCTTCGCAGCTCCACCGGGCAGGTGACTCCATTTCTGATGTACTAAAACACAACAGCATCTCCCCCCAGCTCGGCGAATATCTCCAGCACTCGATCATAGTCATAGGATATGCTTAATCCCTTTGCCTGGAGCATCTGTTCGGGCTTCTTCGTCCTGGTCTTTGTAAACACTGACAGACCAATGTAGATGGGGAATGGAGTCTCTCGATCCTTCCAGTGTCTGTGGTTAGTGGCACCTTCTTGGAATCTATCATAGCAGTTTGAAATCACTTCAATTGTTAGAATATGTTTAAAAAACATATTAAGATGGTGATTATCGTATAAAGCATATATGCAAATTTGGATTCTTCATGGTTGATTACATATATTTTGACACCAAAATCATATAATTTGTTCTACTGCCTCATGCTGTGTGACATTATAGTATAGGGTTGCGCATACCGGCAATGGCGGCCATCTTGAAAATGGCGGCCATTTTGAAAAAATTGCGTGGTAAACGTTTGATTTATGAATATATATATATGCATGTCATCATGGATATGTGTGCCAATTTTGGTGCTTGTATGACAATGTGAATGATTCGGCTGATTTTTGCAATTAGCTGCCCCACTACTGTGCCTTGCACGTAAAAGACATTTAATCAAGTAATTTTTTAATCAAGTAATTTTTTTAAATCGAGTAATTTTTTTCCTGCGGTGTATCCCACACGTTCAAGGTTGGCTGTGACAGACCAAGTCTTAGCAGTCTCCTGGAGTCTCCACCTACATGGTTGGAATAGCTCATGGAGGCTTGCTGTTGTATGTGATGCAAGTCTTCATGCTCGTTCAATAATTGCCCGTTATTTTTGGACGCTTTGAGACAACCTACAAAAACTGTTGCACTACAAAACATGACACACACATAGTTTTTTCTCTATAATATATAAATTGTTTTAGTTTTCTTCAAATGATACATTCTCCAAAGGACCTTCACAGAAATCTGGGGAACTTGTCAAATTCTCAACTGGTGGCCATAGCTCAGTTTGCCTCAAAAATGACTTGAGCAATAGAATTATCAAATGAGTGTGAGAATATCTTCAACAGAATCTTTTGATCACCAGGTAAACGGAAGCCTGCAGACTGTTCTAAAAGTGATGCTTGGACGTGGCAAAAACTGCAGTAATGATAACTGATGACAAAACCAAACTCCAACATTCTCTAGAATGAAAAAAAACTGAACTTCAGAAAACCAAGTCAAATTTTGTAGGAGTTGTTTTATTCACGGAACATTGGGTCGCTCGCCCCACAGGCCCGGGGGTCACACACACAGAAGGTCAGAGGTCAGAGATGAAGGTCAAACAAACTGACATCCATATGAACCAACACTTATGAGAACGTAACGAAACAGGACAAAGCCGGTGAAGACAGGAGATCGTTTGGGCGGTACACTGGACCAAGGTGCAAGCTGTTAACTGTACCACAGAATACCAGGCTGAGGGAAACCAAACTGTCACAAATAGCAAACTAAGAAACATTCAAGCCAAACTACCGTACCTTACAAAGTCAACCTTCAGACGATCGAGAGGAAAACCCACAGACACTCTCAGACAGAACCAGCTGGTGGATTCTCTTCCCTCTCCCAAGTTACTCATTGTTTTCAACCTATATATCCGTGACAAAAGCATGTTGTTTTACATAAAAATCAAATGATAAAGTTTTTAACCAATTAGAGTAACTTAACATATTATGAAAGTTCCCATCTAGTCCGCTGGGTCAACTTGACCAGGAGGGCAGCAGTGGAGTGGAGACGAGACAAAGAGATTGGTGAACCAGCCACGGGTGAGTGGTGAAGTCAGCCGAAGGTGATCTGTTGGGGTGAGTGGTGAAGTCAGCCAAAGGTGATCTGTTGGGGTGAGTGGTGAAGTCAGCCAAAGGTGATCTGTTGGGGCGAGTGGTGAAGTCAGCCAAAGGTGATCTGCTGAGGTGGCACGTGGCCGTGGTCTCCCATCATCTCCAGCACCACAAGGCCGTCCGGCTGTATGGTGACCAGGCTCAGGCTACAGTTGGCCACACACAGACGTAGCCAGCCCTCTCCGGGGAACTGCAGCGCTCTGGGGAACACAGCCACAGCACGGGACAGCTATACAGCAAGGGACGGGGATACAGCACGGGACAGCTATACAGCACAGGACGGGGATACAGCACGGGACAGCCATACAGCACAGGACGGGGATACAGCACGGGACAGCTATACAGCACAGGACGGGGATACAGCACGGGACAGCTATACAGCACAGGACGGGGATACAGCACGGGACAGCCATACAGCACAGGACGGGGATACAGCACGGGACAGCTATACAGCACAGGACGAGGATACAGCACGTGACAGCTATACAGCACAGGACGGGGATACAGCACGGGACGGGGATACAGCACGGGACAGCTATACAGCACAGGACAGGGATACAGCGCAGGCCACCTGCTTGTGTTGTACGGGGATACAGCGCAGGCCACCTGCTTGTGTTGTACGGGGATACAGCGCAGGCCACCTGCTTGTGTTGTACAATTTACAGAACAGCTCTGACGTAACACACAGGAAAAATATGCACAAGTCACAAGTAGATCTACCTTGGCAGAACTTTCTCCACTTCCGTAATTGCAGCTCAATGATATAATGCAACACCCAAACAGCAATAAATAACTGCATCGCTCTCAATCCCACCAGTTTCTACGATGATGGCCCCGTCAAACACACAGAAATCACATTCACATAGCCACAACATGTTGTCATGTAGGCTATACTGAGAGGAACTTGAACGTCTTTATTTGACTTGACCTCAAGAATGAAGAGTACAGCACAACAACCTTTGCTGACATTATAAAGATAGAGAGATAGAGAAATATATATATATTA